GGCCGAGTACACGGACATCATCACCAACTGCTGGCACACGGACCCCAGCGTGCGACCGACGTTCCTCGAGGTGATGACGCGCCTCAGCGGGATGGTGGGCGACGCCACCGGTGGCGCGTCGGCCTCGTTCACCTCGACGTCGTCCAAGGGCGGCAAGAGCATCTACGGCTCGTCGTGGTCCGTTCCGGGCTCCTCGACCAACAGCACCAACTCGCGCGGCAGCAAGAGCTCCCAGTCGAGCAACTCGTCTCAAAGTGGCGTGGAGGGCGCCGCGGCAGCGACCGACATGCGCCCGCCCGAGGGCGACATCACGATCGTCTTCACCGACATCTCGCGCGCCGCATCGCTGTGGGAGTTCAACCCGATCGCCATGCGCGACGCCACGGTGCTCCACAACGGCACCCTCCGCGGCCTGCTCAAGCGCCACCGGGGCTACGAGGTGGTGTTCATCCGCGACCGAAACTCGGGCGAGGGCTCGTTCTGCATGGCCTTCCAGCAAGCCGCCGACGCGCTGGCCTGGTGCACCGAGGTGCAGCAGGCCCTGCTCCAGGTCGAGTGGCCTGAGGAGCTCACAAACCACCCCGGCGCGGCGGAGGAGTGGGCCGACAACGACCAGGAGGAGAAGGTCCTCTACCGGGGCCTGCGCGTGCGGATGGGCGTCCACTCGGGCGAGGCGCGCATGGTCCGCGATCCCATGTCGCGTCGCGTCGAGTACATTGGACCCACGGTGCACGCCGCAGCGCGCATCACGGCCCTCTCCCACGGCGGTCAGATCCTGCTGAGCGAGACGGCCTATCGAAAGATGCAGGAGGCCAGCCTGGGCAAGGTCAAGCGCAACCTCATCTCCTGTCTCGGCACTTTCGAGATGCCCGACTACCCTCAGGGTACGTGGGTGGTGTGTGTGCATGGGTGCGTGCGGTGGCGCGTGTGGTGCGTTGGCTCAATCGGCTCTTCGATTTCCGCCATCTGGCAGGGGCTCGACTGTACGAGATCAAGGTCGAAGGTCTGGAGGGCCGCTTCTTCGGTGGCGTGTCCAAGGCGCACGAAGGTGACTCGGAGAGCAACACCAGCGAGGAGCCCAGGAGCGGATCGAGCGGCGAAGGCAACGAGGTTCAGACGGTAGTGGGCGACGGGATGGCGTTCAAGGAGGACAACTTCCTCACGTCGGCCAACCTGTGCCGGTGGATCATCGACTACAACGAAATCCAGGTGGGCAAGCAGATCGGTCTGGGCTCCTACGGCGTGGTCTATCGCGGCAAGTGGAAGGGCGTTGATGTCGCCGTGAAACGGTTCATCAAGCAGAAGCTCGACGAGCGGCGCATGCTCGAGTTCCGCGCAGAGATGGCCTTCCTCTCCGAGCTCCATCATCCCAACATCGTCCTCTTCATTGGTACGCGCGCAGTGAACAGCGTTGGCCCCACAATTGAGTGCTGACGATTGAAGCTTCAACCCCCACGTCGTGGTGCAGGTGCCTGCATGAAGAAGCCCAACCTGTGCATCGTGACCGAGTTTGCAAAGCAAGGCAGCTTGAAGGACATCCTCCAGGACTCGGGGATGAAGCTGGTGTGGCAGCAGAAGCTCAAGATCCTGCGCAGCGCGGCTCTGGGCATCAACTACCTGCACTCCCTGCACCCGGTCATCGTGCACCGCGACCTGAAGCCCTCCAATCTGCTCGTACGCACACCGCTCCCCACAGCCCACAGCGCCCCCCCCCAAACACCCAATAGTCATTCATTCCTGACACCTTAACGTGGTGTGTGTGGGTTGAACGTGCAGGTGGACGAGAACTGGAACGTGAAGGTGGCCGACTTTGGATTCGCGCGCATCAAGGAGGAGAACGCGACGATGACCCGCTGTGGCACTCCCTGCTGGACGGCGCCGGAGGTCATCCGCGGCGAGAAGTACGACGAAAAGGCCGACGTGTACTCGTTTGGCATCATCATGTGGGAGGTGCTCACCAGGCGCCAGCCCTATGCCGGACGCAACTTTATGGGCGTTTCGCTCGGCGTGCTCGAGGGGCGGAGACCGCAGATCCCCAACGACTGCCCGGCGCACTTCACCAAGATCATGAAGAAGTGCTGGCACGCCAAGGCGGAGAAGCGCCCCCTCATGAAGACGTACTTGCCTACTTCGACAAGCAGGTAGGTGCGGACGATTTTGTGGCGACAAACCCCTGAGGTGCCACCGGCAGTGTAACATAAAATGGGAGGGGCAACAAAAAAATGGTACAACACGGTCGCCAAAGGTTTTTTTGGGCAGTGTTGTGTTTATTGTAAAATGTTCAAGGAATTTACCATGATATTAGACACCATCACTGCGCCAGTATGGTGTGCCAAGTGGTATGGGTTGGTTGGGAGAGAATGCAACAGCATTGGCAGGTTGGGCCCCTGCCTCCTGGTAGGTTGGGCACCTGCCTCTTTCGCTCACTCTCTTATTCATGCACAGGTGCACTGGGCTTGACTGAGTGCCTGAGTCCAGTGGGCAACCCCTGGGACTGTCTGCACAGGGCATCTTGTGGGCATACATGTGATCAGGATTGGTGAGCTTGTTGCATGCTCTTGCTGAGTGGGTTCTTCTTGATGATCTCATCCAGATTGCAGTGGGGCTGGTGGCATGAACTTGTTGGGCTTGTGCTTGGGCTGGGGCTGGAGCTGTAGTAGGCTTGACAGGTGCAGGCTTGTGCTTCAGTGATGGCTATTCACCATGTAGAAGTACTGTCATAGGGCATCCTAATGTTCCTCCAGCTGACAAGCAGTCAGGGGTCAAGATTCATCCCACAACATAGACAACTGCTGGTTGGTAGCATGCAGCTTGCCTCTCCCATCACAAAGTAGTAGAACATCATTGCCACAAGAGAGCCAGAACTGCACATAATTTTTTGTTGGTTTGTTTGATATCTTCCAAATGGGGATGACAAAGTTCTAACTCAAAAACTGGGCTGGTGGTGATGAGTTGAGCTCAGAGCAAGCACATTATTGATCTGCTGCAGTAAGTTGACATGTACATACTGTGTTCAATCAGAAGCCTGAATGGCAAGCCAGAGTGGACCTTCCCCTCCTCTTGGATGTTAAGTGGGCATCAATATTGACAACAGCCATAGAGCCACTTACTGGGTCAAACCACAAAAAGGATTAAAGCAGCATTTGGTGGGCACCTTGAACACCAGCACATCCACCATTGCACTTGAGACCTTCATCAGAAGGGAACCCAAGAATGACAATATTGCCTGCTTCTCCTGGCTTGATCAGGTCACCTAGCTGCCACTCTTCAGCACTGTGTTGTGCACTCATGGAGCAAGGCTCAACTGACAAACAGTACGCCTGGATGACAGGAGTACACTGAACTCCTCTCCCCCCCAGCCCGCCACATATAAAAGGTCGCCACCCCAACTGTACCAAATATGCTATAAAAAAACTTATATTAAAAGGTCTAAATCCACATGAAGATCATTTTTCCATTACTGGGAGACCAATGGACTGACGATCCACTTCCACAGAGTGGCAGGAGATGAGAGAAGGAGGAAGCTCTCGTCGTCAGCCACGTCCACGTGATAGACGCCCCCAGCAGGGATAGTCCAGGCCACGGTGCGCGTGAAGGGATCGATCGCCGCCAGCTCCTCCTTGGCCCAGTCTTGAACCAGCAGCCACTGGCGGAAGGTGGTCGGGACGAACTGATGCGCAGTGAGCTGCTGGCTAAAGGCGAGAGCGCCACCGTTGAGCGGGTCGTGACACATGAGAGTATCCGTACTGAGGACACTGTAGGTGGCGCACACGAGCTGCTGCACGCCCTGCACCACCACCCCATGCAGGGTCGTCACCGCGGGCGCGGAGTTCCACTCCACCGTGTTCTGGCCATTCACCAACAATCAAGAGAGCAAGCATCTACAAGTGAGTCACATGTAACACGAACATGACAAACATTACACACGTGACACACGCCACAGTGAAGGTAGTTCACCTGCCACAGGAGATGGCCGTTGGCAGCATCGTAGGCGGCGACCGACGTGGTGCTTGGCTTG